ATACTAAATACTAAAATTTTACTGGTATATGCCCTATCTAATCACATTGTAAAAATAAAAATTTGGAAACCAATTATATAAAACCGTTTTTTATAATAAAAAAACACCCCGCCATTACTTTTCGGGGGGACTGTACCGTCCGTACCAAATGCGGTAACGAACAATTATATTTACACCAGTCTGATGATAAAATAGGCTAGCACGAGGTATGTCAAATTTTCTATGTGTAAGGTCATGAGTTTTAATATGTCTGTTTAGGAAGGAGAGGGCAGCTGAGCATCCAATGAAAAAATAGTATTTAAAAGTATAAATAAGGGGTCGACAATAAAGACTTCGAAATTCCAACACGACAAATTATTAAAACTGAATAATATGAACAACAATCCCGTCAGCTATTATAATGATGTCTGTCAAGCATCTTACCCGGAAGACTACGACCCTGATGACACTCATCCTCCTGTTACCTCTTTTCCTGTCAATTTCGATAAAATATCTGCTACTCCGAATACTATTGACCATGGAAATACAGGCGATTCTACGCCCTTTCAAGGCAATCCATATTATTGCACACGTCTGGATAACGTTGACACGATGGACGGGCTATCGAATGTATCTTGCCCACCGGCTTGTTATGATCAAGTCGAAACAAACACAAACAGTTCTTGCCCGCTCCCAGAATCATTTCGTGGCTACTATCCTGATATGACGAATTCCGGTCCGACTAATAATTATTTACAACATCCCGGCATGATTGACAATACACCGGTTGCGTATACGTCTACACAAATGCCTCCGCAAATGTCATTTTCATCTAACGTAATGAACGCGCCCGCAAGAACAGAGTATTTTGTTATGAAAGTGGAGTATACCCCATTAGTCAGGATACCAACTCCTGACATTGACAAAATATTAGCTACTCTCGAAAGTGAGAAAGAGCCTTAGTATTAGATGGAATGAAACTATTATTAGTTATAGTCTAAGTCGTGCGACATGTGTCACCTAGGGGGGGTAAATCTTGTGGAACAAAATGTTGCGTCTACTGTAGTATTTCAAAATAGTAGAGGCAAAGGAAAAATCAAGCTCGCAGGTTCATTTACAATATGGAGAAACTTTTTTTGCTTTGACTTGACACAGATATTAGGCATTTAAAATCTGTAAACTGGTTGACGCAAACGTATAACAGTAATATATTTTATATAGGTTTAAACTATATTAAATAAAATATATGAACTAATTCCGTTATGGAACAAAAAAATTACAATATTATTAGAAATGTTCTAAAAAAGAAAAAAAAACCAAGGAGAAACATTGCGCTTTATGTTTTTTAAAGCAAGTGATACCAAAACACTCCAGGGATATATCTAGATAAAGTAAAATCAGTATGAAATTTATCAAGAGGAACGAACATTAAACCCAACTTATGATGAACCAAGAAAGAAAACGAAATTAGAAAAATATAAAACAAATATCTAAATAAATTTCTTTTATCAGAAATATTATGAGCTACTATTTGATATATAAATGCTAATATCGAGGTCGAGGAGAATCAGGTCATCAACGTTCTTGCGTGTCATCCCCAGAACTCTATGTTAAAAATCTCGTAGAATTTACTTAATCTTTTGAACGATAGCAGTCTGGAATTTCTTACTAATAAAATTATACTTTGACATACTCCATTTTTTTCATCGACTTGGAGCATGTTCAGCATAATATAAATTACCTTAGGACCGCACAAACGCTGTTAAGTCTGTGATTGCTCCCCCCAAAAAATTTTGCACCAAGAACGTGCGCTTTACTTTGTACATCGGCTTTTTTGTTCAAACTAGATAGCAATGGCATCTCCACAAAGCCCTTCGAGACAGCAACACGTTATGCAAAATTTACTCCCGAAATACCAATAATAAAAAAATATCCACATTGAAAGTCTCTGCCAGTTGATTGTACAATTCCCAGATGCAACTCTGCAAAATACGGTTTCTCGGGGTTTGGGAATACTCCACCATTATAATTTATTGCAAAACAGAAACAGTGAATTAGAAAGATGATTAGATCGCACTCTCACTGCTGCCGCGTCACTCGCAAACTAACTTGTTACTATTACGTATGAATTCAAATAGCGTCGCGAAATAAGTGACGACGAAAATGGTCCTTAATCAGCAGCCTCTTCTCGAAGTCTACGAATTCGTTCGTTTTCTGTATTCGAACATTGTATTCATTACTTTTCATATAAACCAACCAAAATATAATTTTTGACTGCGTCAATTTAAGTAAATTTATTTCTGCATTACAATGTAGTTTAAATAAGCCGAGGTTTTGAATAATCTATTTTAGACCTTGTTCACATTGCTCCAAAGTAAAGTGAACAAGAGCATCATTTTAGCCCGTCATATTCAGATCAGTTACAAAAGTTTCATAACGCTCATCCTACTTGTTAAGTAATCATTTCTTTCCTCCAGTATGCTTTAGGATCCAATCAATGTACTCTTCGATAACTCGATCTTTTTCATATTCGTTATGAACTGTAGTTTTATGTCAACAAATAAAAGTCAGAAGGATCGAGTGAAATGATGGGGGGGGGGGGGGGGAGAAATGACCAGATTTCGCTTACGTTCGTGATAGAGTCCATCCCACTCGCGGAAGGTTTTGTCAGTTGATGGAATTTTATCAAAAAGTTGTTTTGCAGTTTTGAAACATGTTATCGGATCCTTGTTTCCGTGAGCAATCAAAACCGGTAAAGTTATTTCCTTATATGTTTGTCGTTGTACTTTGCGTACACTCCATATAAGATCAGCCACTATAAAACAGAAATAACATCGGCACGTCAAATTTCTTAGTTGCAACGTTTACCCATAGGTTTCTATACGCGCCATTAATGGATACATACACCCTCCGAGTGAACCGATTCCATGGATAAGTGGATCGGCTACATATTTATCCACCTCTTGGGGGTCATGACTGATTCCTTTTTCATCTATCACGACTTTCATTTGGAAACTTGGCATGATCTTGGAGAGGGCAGTGCAGGCGTAGACTTTCAACTCGGACGGTTTTATCTTGGGAGGTTGATCAATAAAGGGGGCGCTTAGAATGATACCAGCCAGATTAGACCGTTCTTCTCCTACTGTTGCATAGTGAGCGACAATCCCACCACCCTAAGCACATTTATTGGAAATGATTATATGACACAACTATCCAGACGTTGTAAAAACGTAATCGTGAAAAAAATTTTTCTTTGCATTAGCTTACCATACTGTGTCCCATAAGGAATTGGGGAACTCCTTCTCTACGTTGCTTCCTGAGTGCATCGGTAATATCTGAGCATGTGACGGCCATTCCACCAGTGACACCAAGTCTCTTGCTCTTTTCACCCGTCTGACCGAATCCGCGAAGATCATAACCATATACTTCAATCCCAGCTTTCGCAAATTTATCAAATACGTGACAGTAACGTTTTACGTGTTCTCCAAAACCATGACAAAAGACTACAGTTGCTACTGGGGATTCGCGCGCGGGCTAGTAAAAGTACGTATGTGAACGTCACTTGGACAATGAAGACTGGCTAGCTGTGCTAGGAGTAATGTTTTACCTTCCATTGCATTGTGAATAGCTCAGCACCATCGGACGCAGTAATCCATTCTTCTGTAACTGTTGGATCTGCCATTTTGTTCGAGCGTAAAAAGTCTCAGAGAACAGCATCCAGTCCGTATCACGAATTTATATTTCGTGTGTGGCAAATAAACCAGCGTAATTGTACCACTAATCAAGCAGATCTCTACGCGTGGGAAGAATGTCCATTATTTACTAACAGCAACAATAACCTTCCGATCGTGATGAACAATTTGGGCAGTCACAATAAAAGATGTGCATACGGCCAAGGTTTTAGCTCCAAAAACCAAAATTTACCACATGGTTTATGCAGTCTCACGTGTCGAATAGGCAAATCTGGGCCCAACTCTTCTTGTGAGAATATTACCGATTCGTGAGAAAATCCAAGAACATACGAGCACTATTATGAATCTGGTCATCTTAAGCACTGAGTTATACTAATACCGACAAGCATCAACATTCAACCAAGGAATCACTTCCAGAACCAATAGATTGATCCAAAGATAGATTAATCACGTGATGATGTAGTATAATTAATTGGAAATAATTTTTTTTCATTCGAGGTTTTGGTAAACTACGAGTCAATAAGATGGTGTTATATTTCACGTCGACAGGTGAGCCTTGAAAAATAGTATACAAATTATGAATAGTAGACTCATCGCCTATCCGTCGACCATACACAGTTGTTGATCCTCCAGCTATGGTATATATGGGAAAGGATAAGTACGAAAGTGTGTGTTCGTTCTTCAGAATCACCTTGGATTTGTCATTCCAAAGTTAATCATCGAAATTAACATATGGCATTTGGCATTTCTGTTGATTAACCAATGTAACGCTTATAAGATGAAGAACTAATCAAATACGGGTGGAACGAAGACGTATGGTATATACGAGACTGCTCTTGTTAGATGATTTCGCAGAAAAAGTTATCTAATTCTCCCTTCTAAACACATCCCTAGGGTACGTGTACCATCTACATCATTATGACATTAATGAATTAATGAATTAACCTATTGAATCACTCACATATCAATTGCTCGTCTCAAATATTTACTAACCTGTTCAGTTCCATGTCGACAAACTCTCAAGCGCTCACGTATATCTTCGTCTTCAACCCGATCAGACTTGGGATGCGATACCAAGTGAACTGTTGAATGACCTCGCACAATTGGTAAAGGCCAACAGTATAGAAGGGAATAAAATGAATAACATAACTGTTGTGTACACACCTTGGTACAATTTAAAAAAAACCGCGGAGATGGATGTCGGACAGGTTTCTTTTCATGACAATAGTCTGGTGTGTTGTTCAAACTTGCCGATGTTGAAGGAGAGAAATAATAATGGACAAGTGTTAATTATATACCAGTCTTACGAGTAATAAACTCTGGTTTTGACTTTAGGTTAAGCGCATAAACATCGCAAGCAGAGACAATAAAATTATAAATCGGTTAGGGAAGACGAAAAAGGAATTATATCCTGATTTGCTCGCTGAAAAAGAGGCTCATAATAAAGAACTTCGAAAAATTGCAAGAGCTGAAGAAATGGCAAAGGTATTATATGTTAACAAAGAGCGATCGTCATCTTTGTATTTCTGTGTCTTAACGTTTGCATTATCTTGGACTTTCGAATATCAGGCTAAGGAAGAGCTTCGACAAAAACAAAAGTTCCGCGAAGAAGCAGCCAAGAAATCATATGATTCACTCTTCGATGAATCTAACATGAGAAGTAATCAAGTTTATGAAGAAAATGCGCAGGCTCTGGAGGATGACTTTATGTGACGGTTATGTGACGGGGCTTTTCACATAATTTGGAGATGACAATATGGACATTCGAAGATGGTGTTGGTTTTAGCGAGATATAGGCATGTGAGAAAATTGATTAGTTGTCGGTATGGCAATTAATTAATGTAGGGAGCTTACACATCAAGTTGAGTGAGTGCATAAAAATTTCTTACATCCGAGAAAGACCGGCGGCTTTTTACAAAATACTAGCACGACCATGTAAATCCTCATTCTTCGGATAGATTGCGTGATGACATCAAGCTTCTGCCCCAATAATAAACATGGACCTCATCCAGATTGCTAGTGATTTCTCTTTGATGCTTACACGTAGTATGTTAATTTTCCCTTCCCAGTTGGCATTTTTGTTATGAAAATTTACATGTGACAGTTATAAAACATACGTGAAAAAAATTCAGAATGCTCGTGTATGCTTATGTTTTGCCAATGACTTAATTGATTTTCAAAGCCGCTTATATAACACTTATGTCTTCCTTGACATTTCTTTTAATTTTCATACCAAACATCGCAAGCAGAGACAATAAAATTATAAATCGGTTAGGGAAGACGAAAAAGGAATTATATCCTGATTTGCTCGCTGAAAAAGAGGCTCATAATAAAGAACTTCGAAAAATTGCAAGAGCTGAAGAAATGGCAAAGGTATTATATGTTAACAAAGAGCGATCGTCATCTTTGTATTTCTGTGTCTTAACGTTTGCATTATCTTGGACTTTCGAATATCAGGCTAAGGAAGAGCTTCGACAAAAACAAAAGTTCCGCGAAGAAGCAGCCAAGAAATCATATGATTCACTCTTCGATGAATCTAACATGAGAAGTAATCAAGTTTATGAAGAAAATGCGCAGGCTCTGGAGGATGACTTTATGTGACGGTTATGTGACGGGGCTTTTCACATAATTTGGAGATGACAATATGGACATTCGAAGATGGTGTTGGTTTTAGCGAGATATAGGCATGTGAGAAAATTGATTAGTTGTCGGTATGGCAATTAATTAATGTAGGGAGCTTACACATCAAGTTGAGTGAGTGCATAAAAATTTCTTACATCCGAGAAAGACCGGCGGCTTTTTACAAAATACTAGCACGACCATGTAAATCCTCATTCTTCGGATAGATTGCGTGATGACATCAAGCTTCTGCCCCAATAATAAACATGGACCTCATCCAGATTGCTAGTGATTTCTCTTTGATGCTTACACGTAGTATGTTAATTTTCCCTTCCCAGTTGGCATTTTTGTTATGAAAATTTACATGTGACAGTTATAAAACATACGTGAAAAAAATTCAGAATGCTCGTGTATGCTTATGTTTTGCCAATGACTTAATTGATTTTCAAAGCCGCTTATATAACACTTATGTCTTCCTTGACATTTCTTTTAATTTTCATACCTTGGTGATTTCCCATTTGGTTCATAAGGGTAAATTTGGAGCTTCCAGTCAAAAATCGCTACTCGTTGTCTAAGCTCTAATAGTCTACAAAAAAATCCCCTGTAGTTTCGTCAAGTGGGTTGACACACGTTTCATCAGTCGAGTTATTTTCTTATCCAATAAAACATATTCGATGTCCACACTTTCGTCCACGCCACCTCTCAACCAAGCGTTACAATGTCAACACCAGCTAATTAATGTAATATCTGCGATTTCACATTATGTACTAGAAATAGGGGATTCCATCAAATAGAGTATCTCCTCGTCTTTACCAAACATCAGCCGCAGGATATGGATAAGCGATATGTATGTATATTTATAGGTTTAAATTTCTATTTATTTATACGAAATACGTACTTTGCTTGGTAGCAACACAGCAAATCAGGGGTCTTCCATGTGTGCTAAATAAAGACCGCACGTAGACATAGAACGAACATTCCGACGAGAACGGACATTCCAGTAACCGTATGAAATAGTTAATACAAAAACAAATTGTATACTAAAGACAATATTAGAGGGGTAGGCTACCACGAAAGTGTCCATCAAGACAACGTCAAAGAGAGTATCCTTCGCGTCTTGAGCTAACAACAGTCACGTGATAAACCAATCGGCATTATAATTACAATGTTTACTCGTCTGCATTTGGCTGGCTGCCGATTATTAATTGGATCGTTACGCTTGCATGGCACCCAAAGGGATGACCAGTAGCGAGAACGTAATTAATTTGTTCGCGTACTGCTTCATCACATCTTGAAGCAAATAAATGTTACCTTGTGCCCAATCGTAACTATAATGAGCAGTAGTGCTTTAACTTTGTTATCCTCTGCCAATTTTGTTGTTAGATGGTTTTGGTATTTTTTCAATACGTTTCTTGCTTCTTCTTTCTTACAGTAAGCCTCTCGAAAAGGCTGGCACATGTCACATAAATCTGTTCTCAGACTCATGATTTGAATATAAGGCGTTAACTTGTGGAACGCATATTTTAACAATTTCAACGCGCAATCATTTTCGCGACCTGCAATAAAATTACGACGGATTTGTTACTTGTTTCAGTAGGTAATAGTGTAAGCGATTGAGTAATGCGGTTAACATTTCTATGAGTTTATGAATTTCAGCATAAAATTCTTCACAGCGGTAGCGTGGTATTATACCATATAATTTCCGACGGTTTCAAAGTGAGTGCGACCGATTCCTTGCATATTAAGATACGTTTTCTGACAAAGAGACGTATTGCAATCTCAGTATTAAAATGTTCGTTTATGAGTACGCGTTTTCTTTTTAAGACGTCGGTTGGCAGTTACTTTCCCACTATTCATTGCTTTCAGTTGGGCCATTAAAAAATACATCTTGTTCAGACCTAGAGAGAGCTTGAAACACCTCACGTAATCAGCAAACTTTCCCCTTGGAATCATTTTCGAGTAACCACAATTGCAACTTAACTCCAAGAAACATATTGCCTTTTACATAAACTGAAATTTATTTGCATATGTTCTGGCCCATTCCCAGAACGGGCCAATTTCTGATTTGGGCCAGAACACATTATCATTAGAACAAAGTTTGCATAAATAGCCTTTAGTAAAACATATCTATAGAAAGCATTTTTCTAATGTATCCTTGTCATGTTCAGGAAGAATATTCATACATGGCTTTATATCTGAATCTGCTTACAGTGCCTATCACAGGACATGACAGGAACTGATAAATAATAAATACTGTCACAATCACATGATATAAATGATTGGATGAGATATATTCTTTACGTAAATGTCTATTGATGCATTACAACATGAGGTTTGCATCTATTCAAACGATAACATTATGGACAGTTTTGTTTAACTTTCTCCATAATTTTTGTGCCACAAGTACTGACGTTTTAGTAATAGTAATAAGTATAATCTTAATATAGATCGATCCACTGTAAGGAGATTTTAGCCAAGAAGGATAGATGGATTAATCTTGAACTTTAACTGAATAAATTAAATGGTAAATTTTACAATATTCTTTCCAATCAATATAAACCTCTTTACAAGCACTTAACAATAAATTATTATAGAGGCCTCCCTTACAAGTCACACACTCTTTACAGTCACTGGTTTCAGGGGAACAGAAGGTGTGACTGTAGAGAGGGACGACGGGGTATATGTAACTGTCCACCAATTAAATGTAACAATCCCCCGATAGAAAAAGGCGAAAACATGTTTTCCAGGCTTTGACTGTACTCTGCAGAATTATCTTGCTTTCCCGAACGTTAATTTATTCTGATCGACAGTTCTTTGACATAAAAGTAGCGATTGATGTCATCCATTTTTGGTATAATCCGGGACTGCATTGTCGAGTATAGGGTACGAACGATCTACAATGGCTGCGGCAATCCCAAATTCCGGTGTAACAAACGTAGTAGCTGCGGAATACGCCGATGAACACAGAAATCAACTAATTAGGTAGTAT